TCTTCATCGGATTCAGAGGATGAATATTTTATGATGTTTAATATTCTTAACAAAAGAAGAAAAACATTCTTTGCATCGAATGATAGAATTTCAGGTGGGCGAGTGCATCGTTATTCAGACGAAGAGGTAGGCATATTTTGCCTTTGAGAATAATCAGAATGATAGGTTAAAGGAAAATATACTTATGGTTTGCTGAACTTGAAGGTTTTATCCGTCTCCGACAAACGTGCAAACCGTAGCGCCAACCAAATTGAAAAAAAAAAAATCAGTCGTAAGCTCTGTGTTGGTGGCAACTGAAAGATGAACGGCGACAAGATCAGCATCGCCGAGCTGTGCAAAATCTCGACCACTGCTAACAGTGAGGTCACCGTCGGATGCCCGTTCCCCTATCTGACCTTGGTCCGCTCCCAGCTACCGGACAGTGTTTGTGTTGCTAAAGGTGCCTTCACCGGTTAAACTTCGGCGACTCTGCTTAAGGATCTGATCATGGAGTGTAAGTCGGATGAACTGATCACCGACAAAGTTGTGCAAGGTCTGGTCGAAAGCCTGAAGACGATCGCTTGCATTGTTAAGACGCTGCAGGACCTGAAGTCGGTCAAACCGAAACCGTTTGCTTCCACCAGACCACGATGTGTGGTGCAATCCACCTACTGCTATTTCTCGACAGTACTCCAGCCAATTGAGTTTTTTTTTTATAGATAACTACTTCATTATTGACTTTAATCTAATGCTCTGCTGACGCCTGAGATATCATCAACGAGATGAATCTTTTTGATCCTCCTTGCTCCCCTTCATTGGCCAGAAGATTCACCCACACTCGCTTTTCCTGTCTGGGTTCTCTTGGATCATTTTTATTGAATTCCCACATAAACAATAACCATAACCACAACCAATCGACCACCAGTAAAAAACAATACTTTCTACTGTAACTGATAAAATTGAATGAGGAAATCGCAAAAAAAAAATCATTGTTAAGATACTTAACAAACTGGTTTACTGTAAAATCCTCAATCGAAACTATAATTCCACCCGAAACGAAAATAATATTTATCAAGCGGCAGAAAGTTAACAGTGACAGATGAATCTGATATTACACACACCAATAAAGCTACACCGCAAGCGTTCGTTAATTTGGTGCTAAGTGTAGCACCACACCGGTGTAGTGCAACGCAAAAACGAAAACGACATTAAATGCCTGTGCTAATTTGGCAACACTGATGCCAGGATAAATATGTCAGTTGACTCTGGAAGTCTAAACGAATAACAAGTCTATTTTAATTTCCTTTAGCATCCGAAGAAGTCCGCCTAGTGAAATCAGTTCTCTTAGTGGAAATTGTCCTTGATCCGCCCAGTGAAATTGGTCTACTCTCGGTCCGCCCAGTGACTGCCGTCCGGTGAAGCACGGACATAAAAGTGGCGACGATCGGAAAAACTTCTTTTTCGCGTGCAGTTTCGGTAGTGAAAGTAAGCGGCTTAGTGGTGTACCAGCCATAGCAAGCCGATAGCAGCCAGTATGGTAAGCAGCCACAGCAGCACCCACCGCGGCCTCGAACAGCAAAAACAACAAAATCAACCCCAGAAGGATCGGCCGTTCGGCTCAGTAGCACCCGTCATAAATTCCATTCCACGGTGATTATTTCACAGGCGTGATTAAATCCGAACACGAAAGAAGTGCCTGGAACGAAAGAAAGGTAATTTCTGACGAATTGAAACCCAGAGCGCGGCAGTAGTGCCTGCGATCACGTTCCGGGAAACGATCCGGTGTGTAGAGGTGAATTGAAGGACAATCGTCAGTCTCAAGCTATTTTCCCACAAAATTTACGCCATGAGTTCCTCAAACGTGGTCTTTACCATATCGGCAAGTTATTTCCTCTAGCGACAGGTTCACTCGGTTGAAATATTTCTTCCGGGTGAACAAGGCAAAGATGAAGATAAGATGGCTTACTTCATAACGTGAAGTGGGCCAGTAATGTTTAAAGAGATTAAGCTTATCTATCCCGCGGGTAATTTGGAGGAACTCAAAAGTCGTCTCGATAAAATAGACCCAAAATTGGTCCAGCGCTATAGCGCTATCAACATCCGAATGAAACCATGGAAGATTTTGTTTTATCCCTCAAGCTGCAGGCTGAATTTTCTGTTTCAATAATTTTAAAGTAGTAGCCATTTTGGATCGCATCATAGCAGGGATGAAGGACAAAAACTTAAGACAAAGGCTCTTGAGTGAGGATAAATTAACTCTAGCCAATGTGGAGAAGATATTTATGATGCATATACAAAATTAGAAAGGACTTATGATTTGGCAAATCAGGAAGCAAGCAGTAGCAACAATCAATACGAAACTAACGATTTTAAATTGGCTCACTACTTGAATAGCCTATTGGTCCCAAACAAACGATTAACGTACCCAATTCTAGTCAAAATTCTAGTACTACACAATGTTTGTTTTGATTCGCTATGAAATTTTGACAGATAACATGAGGGGTTATTGGATTTTCCTATGTTTCGAGGGGTGTATCGATTAGCTTGGGACCGAAGAGAGTGCCAGAGCTGAGCCAAAAAGTTGAGCACGTTTCTTCGGGACCTACTAGTCTTAGAGTTACCTCTATGGTAGTAGAGGACCAGTAAAGAATCGTCTTGGCTTTGTACCTTACCATACGACACAACAAAAGAATGGAAGTAGGAACCCAACGATGGGGTCAAGCGAACTTCGGTTGGCGCAGAGATTTAGGCAGGGACAGCGTCCGGATTATTCCAACATGATATGCCATTTTTGCGGAATGAAAGGTCACATAAAGAAAAATTGCTTTAAGCTGAAAAATCTACATCGGGACGCAGTGAATCTGGTAAATTCGTACAGGCCATGACCTTCAGCGGATAAGCATATCACGGAACTGCTTGAACGGATGCGTACAAACCGACATGACACTTAATTCTGACTTATGCCTGAAAATCGTAAACGTTCGATTTAAATGTGCAGTGATCTGAACTGTCAAAACCATATGATTTTTGATCTAGATAAAAATAATGTGTCCAGAATACATCAGACACGAACCAAGTAATAACTTTTGCATGCGGGTTCATGGCTTAGCAAAATATTTCCCGCGAACACGGAGCCAGATGTCAGTAGTGTGCTTTGGTCACAAATTTTATTGGTTTTGCTATGGTCATTCATGTCGGTTTGTCGGTGATTCAGGTACGAGTTGGAAGCGTAGGAGCGATGGCGCATCGTACACAGCTGAGGCCTCACAGTCTGGTCGCTTGGCAGTTCCCAAGTCTTATCGTAACGGTGACAACACCGGAGGCGGGAACAACTTGCGAGTCAGATAGCACCACGCCAGAAGAAGAGAACAACGGCAGAGTTGAAGAAAAGAGGGCCCCGACGGTGGGAAGGAAAAGAAAACATGAAATAATAACAGTTGAATCAAGAACGTCGAAGAAAGAGTTCAGAATGAGAAGAATTTTGAAGATTACTCTTACAATTAGTAGGGTAAACGCTCCTATAGTTGCGGTACGTTAGAAGCGTTAGGTTCCTATAGTTGTGTATTGAGTCTCCATGCACAACTATAGAAAACTAACGCTTCTAACGTACCGCAACTATAGGAGCGTTTCCCCTACATTGAATATATAAAGTTTGACGAAGGTCAAATTTTTATTTAAATGAGAAGGACTGTGGCATACGTGCGCATTTAATCGATACGTCAAATGACGGTGCGATTTTAAATGCCTGTGCTAATTTGGCGCCAGGATAAATATGGCAGAAATATACAGAACCAGTTCAGTTCACTCTGGAAATCTAAACGAATAACAAGTCTATTTTAAACTCCGTTAGCATTCGAAGAAGTCCGGCTACTGAAATAAGTCCTCCTTGTGGAAACTGTCCTCGATCCGCCCAGTCAAATCGGTCTATTCTCGGTCCGCCCAGTGATTGCCGTCCGGTGAAGCACGGACATAAAAATTTTGACATTTGTATACATTGTGTTTCAGAGCATCTATTGGTCAAATTTGAGTGCTCTAAGACTTTGTTTACCCCCCTGACGATAATAGGTTAAGGTATTGCCGAAGCCATCATTTCCCCTACGTCACATTAAAGGGAGGCGGCAGATTTTTTACACTGTAACAAGCAAAAAATTACGTCATCATAAATCGTGGCAATAGTGTTTGAATTTTCATCTATTTTTGCATAACATATAGTTAATGGATGCCTTCCTTTCGAATTCTGTAGCTTAAAGTATAACATTTTTTATGACATCAAATTTTTAGTTTTTCAATAAACACCTTCATGCAGCATTTAAGTTTTTTTTTAATAGAATTGTTTTATCATAATTCTCATATATTTAATGATGGATGGATAATGGATAAAGAAAGAGAAAATGATAATTAATTTCCATTTAACTTCACTACCTAAGGTAGTGAAATTAAATGAAAATTACTAACCCTTCTCTTTTCCTTTATACATGCAGACGCCCACATTCATTCGGATTTAATGGAATTTCATGCATTCTGTTATAGTTTGTTTTAAAAATCCATACAATTTCTCCTACAAAACTTTTAGTTTTGAATTGAAAGTACAGTTTTACAGAAAACAGTTTCTTTAAATAGTTCCATTAGTTGAAACTTCAAAATATCGCATGTACTACGTCGTGCAACTCATCGAGCAGTTCGATAAATCTCTATGCTTTGACATCCATGTATTGAGTTGATTGAGTTTTTGTTGTGGCTGTTGTTGATGCATAAACACATCTATCCATAAAAAAATGATAAATGAATGTTCGCAATGCAAATGTTCGAGGAGATAGATGGTGTAATGTTCACACTCGTGATTGACAATGTTTGTTATGTTGGTTTGGGTGAGCACACTTATACACACAAACACACAAAAGAGACACATCTAACAGTGAGGTGGACAATGTGGATGCAACATGACGATGACGATGGCGATGGTGGTGAGAAGATGGTGATTTATTGGCATTTTTCTGATTGAAACGGAAAACCAAACGTACCTCCTTCTTCGATTTCAGCTCCTCCGAATTAAAACTATTGAGCAACAAGGCCAAGAACAAGTTCAGAACCATAAAGTTGCCCATCACCAGCGCCGGGAGGAAGATGGCAAAGCACGACGAGGCTCCTTCCTGAATGGGGTGTCAACAGCGAGAATTGATTTACTGCTTTTAAATACTAGGGTAGCTGTGCCAGTCATGGCACGTGGCTAATGAGCTAATGGGTATTCCATGACCAGTACATCTACCCTATGTTTTGTGAAGGTCTTCTTACCTCTTCTTCAGCCCGCATGCAGTCCCACAGTGGTTCGATCCATTCTCCGCACAAAATACGAAAAATCATCATGAACGAGTGAAAAAAATCGTTGAAGTTCCACCTGTTTTGAAACGGAATTAGAGCTGGATAACTAGGGTGAGTTTGAGATGGTCATAAGTTACCTTGGCACCGGGTCCGGTGCGAACTTTTCCGGAGTGTAATCTTTGGAAAACAACTGCATTCCGATAACAGCAAAAATATAGATAACAATCACCAACACGAACGTCAGATTACCTAAAGCACCTATTGTCGATATGATAATACTTAGCAGGACCTTCATCGTGGTCCATGATTGTGCTAGTTTCAGTACCCGTAACTGGTAAGGTGGGAGGACAATTATGAATATCACCTGCAGAGCTTATCGTTCAAGTCCTGAAACTTACCAATCTCAACCCCCGCAACACTGTCAGGCCCTCCATCAGCTCGAAGATTAGATCGAGCAAGCTGGCTGACACGATAATCAGATCGAATATGTTCCAGCCGCATAGGAAAAAATCCTTTGACAGGGCCAACACTTTCAATATGCACTCGAATGAAAAAACCGCTGTAAAAACCTATGGAAAAGTAATTTACTATGCATGGAAGTCCTGTAACAGCTATCTGCGGTAACTTACCCTATTACCATATTCTAACACATCACGCGCGTTCTGGTTCATGCCGTGATGTTCTAACGCTAAAAACAATGTATTTAAAACAATACATAGTGTGATCCCTAATTCGAACAATGGATCCTTAACAATCTGTTTCAAAGGGTGAAAGCTTCGATTAAATGCATCTGCAGCAGCAAACTTTCCAATAAACTTACATTGTATAAACAATTTTGAAACTGCAACCACTTTTCGTAGCTGATGCAACATTGAACACATCTATCACAATTTCTATCAGGAAGATCGTCTGAAACAAACACACAAAAACTCAACCAAATTAGCCCAATTCCTTCGTTAAACTTCCCCTGCGATTACCACCAGTTGCTGTTCACTTACCTATTACAACAATTTGCGACAAGTATTCCGGATGGAGGGCATAAACGCTGTGCTTTTTGACTTTCGCTAAATTACCGTTACATTTTATTATTCTAACCTCCCGCGGTGATAACGCCAATGTTACCGGTGTTACCTCCCGTTGCTGGTGGGAGTGAGTGGGTGGTTGCCATGGATGTTTGTTGTTGATGGTTGCCGCGGTCGGTCCGGTTGTAAACGAGAAAATGAGCAAAAGAAATATAGCACCAGAATAATGAGCAACGGAGCAGCAGGCAGGGGCGCATTAGGCGTCGCGATAGGAGCAACAGGATGGCAACGACGACGACAACGACGACAATGAATGAAAACGACAGGCCGGGCGAGCTGTGGCAATTAAAAAACAAGCTAAATTATGTATGCAGACTACGGTGTTGGTAGTTATGCATCCTGATGGCTGGTTGCTTTCAGTTGTGTAGATAAAAAAATGTTACAAGGGATTTGAGGAAGACTCCAATTATTTGACATCACACCATCCCGAGATGCAATTGTTGTTTTGGGTTTTGAAGAACAGGTGCATCTGATAGGGTAAGTGTTCCAGTAATAGTGATGTACTTATAGTTGAGGTAAGGGGTTTATACCGGAATAATGGTGGAATATAGTTGCGGTAGTGTTCCTTTAATAATGGAATCCAATGCGTTCTAATTTTTCAGTAGGAAACAAAGTTATCAACTTCCACAACTACTGGAACAGCGTGACGAGTTTTTGAAAAATGTACGCCATTTAATCACAATGTAATATTTTCTTAGTAAAATATATGTTCAAAGCTATCGATTGATGTATACACATTGTACGCTGATCGTTTATTCATTATTTAATAAATAAATTGCCTTACTGAGAGGTAAGCACATATCATCGGTAAGAGACGTGTGTGTGAGAAAATTTGCGAAAAATCTAAAGGCACCGGTGGGATTCGAACCCACAATTTCCATTCAGTACACGGGTGCATTGCCAATTATACACCGGTGGACCTATGGTCTGAGGATGTATTTGGCTAATGACATTTGAGTTTCGAATTCGTTTCCCACCCTAGTCTTTTTGCGCAAACGTTCTCTAATACACAACAATCGTCTATTATCGACGATATCTCGCAACCACTCAGTATCAGTCGATGTGAACAAACACAGCTCATTTTTGTTGTACATCTTACATGCTGAAATATGTCCAGTACAGTATGAATATATCATTTGAGCTGCCGGCCTCACCTCCGACCACCTTAGTTTCTCCACCCTATGTATTTCAAATTTCGAACAAAGGTTCGAGGTCCAACAACCTTGAAGGACCAAATAACAGTTGGTTCGAGTAGTTCAAATTGGCATTCATTTTAGCATTGAACTGAAGCAGTATCTACAGACATCTTCCACCATAATATCGAGACTTCTAAAATAAACAACACTGACTCACTTTTGAATATATCTTTGTGTTGAAGCAGTTTGTGTAATATTCATATAAGTAGTAAATTGCTATGAGTGGCATTAGTGATATGTGCAATAATAACACGCCCAAGTAACAATTTTGGTTTTCTGAGGGTTCTGTAGACCATGAATTGGTCTTGTAGAACGCTTTAAAACCTTGATAAAACTTGCAATGTTACTTGGGCGTTACAGTTCCCTAGTCTAATTGGAAAAGATTTCCAAACATGCAGTATATTTATATGAAATCGCGATTTTTTTCTCTGCAAAAAAGTTCAAAGAGCTGTCACTTTTCCGGAAGTCTATGAAATTCTCTGAAATTTTGACTGCTGGTTGATCAAGTATCCGAAAGTTATGGGGCCCCAGATAGCCACGGTATTACAAAGCCGAAGGCAATAGGTTCGATTCCCGGTCCCATGCAGTTCTGTCAAGGTATATTGAGAGCTGGTTACTACCTGAATTTTTAGATGTCACGAGAGTCGAGAGTTGTAATGTAGGAAAGCATGTAAGCACAATTTAAGTTCCCTTTAATAGACACTGAGGTATGGGTAAAGTTTGTTAGTAATCAACTCGCTATAAAACTTTAAAATACTTACAGGGAAGAGAGTCATTCATATAATCTAATCGATTCGTATTGTTAGCCGTTAAATGTTTCGTAATCTCGATGTGAATCAAGATCCCAGTCTTGATAAGCCAAACCGTCAACTACTGTTGTATCCTAACATGGTTGTTTTACGTGGCTAAATTCTTCTTAAACCAAAACTATATCCAAACCAAACCAATTTCTATCGTCTTCTCGATGCTCTCTGGGTTTCCTTAAAATTCATTCAACTTTCCTGAAGTGCATTGGACTTCCCAGAAATTCTCTGGACTTTCATGAATTCCACAGAACTTCTTAAAAGTTGTAACAGTGCTTTAACTATTTATGTTTGTATTACTTCTGCGTAAAGATAACGATTTTACATAGTTGAAGATGCTAAGTTTCAAATAACAGACTTAAATTGGTCAGAGATGGTGAGGGGTATTAACCCCCCCCCCCCGCCACCACCACTGGCAAAAAGAGGTGATCACTAAACTGAGTTCAAATTTTGGGAGGCTAATCAGGGCCCAATTTGGAACCGTTTGAGCACTGTGGATCGGAAATTTCAAATTTTGCATCAGTCTAATGATCACCGATAACAACAGCTGCAATTTCCAAACCTACGCCTCCCTTCAGATAACGACTTGAGTGCTGTACAATCGATAGAACTGTTTCAAACACATCGTCGGTACATGAGCAAATCGGTGATCATCACTTTTTGCCAGTGGTGGCGGGGAGGGAGGGATACCCCTCACCATCTCTCTCCAACTGGGGACTTTGGTAAAGAGAGATGATCAACCCGATTCGTACGTTACTCAAAGATGTCTTTGCTCGCTTTCTACTCTCTATATACAAGCCATGCCACGCTTTGGATTCAAAGCTTCCGGGCGTATCGGAAGGGAGTTGCCACGTTACCAGTGTACTCCGGCTAGCTTCCACCAAGCTATCATCCACTGACCGAGTCGGCCACCCGTCACCAGAACCGGTTCGCGGCACCACGTTCGTGAACTAAATTCGTCTGTGCACGAAACGCAAACTCAAGCGCTGTTTTTTTTTCCTTGATTTGTTTTCCGTCGATCTTGTTTTCTGTGCTGAGCACCAATGCCTTGACCCTATCCTGGACACTTGGACCCTATCTATCAACCCATCAACACATGAACCGAGGACCAACGGCTTTACTTTCCTTCCGAAGGAACATCCCGTCGGCGCCGACTGAGATTGAACCCAGGCCTACTGGGGTGAGAGGTAATCACTCAAGCGCCGTTGTTGTTGTTGTTTATTTATTTTTGAGTGTCATTCATCCCTATATCTCAAGTGCCGTAGGAGACAGCAACCACCGCGGTCGCATCGACCGGGCGGAAGCCCGCAAAAGTACAACATAAGCTTCGAAGCAAATACCACTTGCATGCAAGATCGTTAGCGCGGACACACTTCGTACAGGCTCAATAGGTCAAGAGTAGTATCATAGAGGCAGCTCTAATAAGACTAAAAGGTCCCGAAATAACGTGCTCAACATTTTGGCTCACCTCTGGTACTCTCTTCGGTCCCAAGCTAATCGATTCACCCCTCGAAACATAGGAAAAACCAATAACCCCTCATTTTATCTGTCAAACTTTCATAGTGAATCAAAACAAACATTGTGTAGGACTAGAATTTCGACTAGAATGGGATTCGTTAATCGTTTGCTTGCGACCAATAGGCTAGTCAAGTAGTGAGCCAATTTAAAATCGTTAGTTTCGTATTGATTGTTGGTAGTATCAACATTCAATACGAAACTAACGATTTTAAATTGGCTCACTACTTGACTAGCCTGTTGGTCCCAAGCAAATCGACTAACGTACCCCATTCTAGTATAAATTCCAGTACCACACTATGTTTGTTTTGATTCGCTATGAAAGTTTGACAGATAAAATGAGGGGTTAGTGGATTTTCCTATGTTTCGAGGGGTGAATCGATTAGCTTGGGACCGAAGATAGTACCAGAGCTGAGCCAAAAAGTTGAGCTCGTTTCTTCGGGACCTTCTGGTCTTAGAGTTACCTCTATGGTAGTATCGCCAAACAAGATAGGAAGCTAGAGGGGAACAGAGATAGACCAGCCAACTTAAAAACCTAGGTTATCAAATTCACTGAATAAATGTAGTTACTGAGCTATCCCGTCCCCAAACTGCTCTGAAAGTCTCGGGATCTGCTTTTAATCCTCTTGGCTTCTATTTGGTTCCTTCAATTTTCGTTAAGTTAACGGGAATGCTCTGAAGCTCTACAAACTTCTTGAAACTGCCCTGAAGTTAGAGAAAATGTTATAAAGATCCCTAAAGTTAAGAATTATTCTCATGAGTGCTTGATCATTGGAAAATGACAAGAAAGCTAGGGATAGGTAGTTTCGGCTCATGATAGTGAGAGGACCTGTTTTGTCATTGTCACATGACGGCCGTGATATTTACCAGCTCTGGCGCAGACCATTTTTCATAGCACATTTGAAGACGGATTTTTTTTCCAAGCGTTTGTTTTTTAATTTGATATGTGGAATGGAACACATTTAAGGGCGAAGATTGATTATGGATGAAGGCAGAATATGTTCGATGCTGTATGTTTGCAGCATAGTAATCTAGATGGGCGTCCAAATATTCAGCCTGGATTATAGGAGTGCATGTAGATCGAAATTAATGTGCCCAAACCCATGAGTAACCACCATGACAGGCCTGGTCCAGCCAAGGGAATCTTTCGGATTGGAAATTTTCTCGACTTCCCTGGGCATAGTTGCATTGTGCTTGCCACACAGTGTACAAATGCATGCATTTTCTGAGGCGAACTAGCCAAAGGCTGAAAGCATCTTTGATAAAGAAAACTAACCAACTGACATAGAAAGCTCTCAATTAATAGCAGTCGAAGTGTATTTTTTATTTAAAGAACGTGCACGTCGTAGTTGCTACTCCGTTACTGATCAGAACGAGTGAAATTGGGTAAGGTAAGGTTATTTTTAGATCAGGATTCAGTATGGTAAGAGTGATACGATTAGTAAAAGCAGCAGACTATTTGTAATTTAAATCTAGAGGGGATAGAATAAGGCATTGTAAAAATTGAAAGGAAGGGGATGGGCCTAGTATTGAACTCCTGACCT